CCTTAATCATGTCGATTATTCCAAAAGTAAATTGATCGATATAGTGTTTGAAATATTAAGTTGAATATTTCGTCGTTATCAAATTATTGAATCCAATGTTTTTCATCATTCCATTTTTTTTTTATTTTTGGCAACAACGTGCTTATCCTTGCACGTTACGTCTATCTAAGTATAAATATCTTATTTCGAGAGACAGATATTTTTTCGTATATTTTTCAACAGATTATTCGTCATATCGTACGTGAATTACAGCGTAATAAAACGTTACGTAAGCGTACATTTGGTGAGATACCGCTTCTCTGCTTTATATCTCTAACACGTTTAACACACCACCTCGTTACAGAACGTGAAGTCGGCGAAACGTCATCTCGGTGCTCTTAAAGGGCGTAGCTTTCATTTCTATAAATAACACGCTCTATGTGTAACGTGTAATGATATTACGCTCATCTCATGGATTTCATTATCGTACATACGAAGTGTCTCTAAAGTACGTAATGATATTTAGAAACTAGAATATTATTAACGAAAACAAATGCGCTACATTATGTAACTGTGTAAGAAGTGAAGTGTCGTTATCGGAAATATTTTGCTCACGCCCATGATAGACTGATTATTTACAAAAATAATAATAATGTCAAAGTAAAAATATATTCGATCCAAAGTTTTGTGCAATTTGCTAAATGGTAGAAAGAATGAGAATCGAGCGAAAGAGAATTTGTGATTTCCTTTCGAAATAAGTTATCAGCCAACGCTGCTCATTTTCAGTCTACCCTGTACATTTCTGCCAACACGCACAACGCCGTTGTCGCTAAACGTATCAGCCTTACGAACTCGCGATATCTATCCTCTAAGTTCATATCCCACCCCATAAATACATTACCTGATAACGCACGTTGCGCCGTGCCGACGATAAGATACTCGACGACGAAATGTTCGTGCGTTATTCCGAAGTAAAATCCGTTTCACCGACGAGAGACACGAATTTACATCGCGGCGTTGCGCGAATAGCGGCACAGCCTGTGTGCCTGGGATTTATTACTTCGCGAGATTGTTTTTCTTCTTTCCATAATAACAGCGCGCGACGCTTTGCGCAGGATTTCGTTGTCGGACGAGAATTTACTATCATGATAGATCCCTCTGTGCGCGGAATTTATTACTTCGGAAAACAATTCCCCGGTTTTTTTTTTTACTTTCCTCTCTGAAGGACAGTGTATATTACACTTTGCGAGGGATTTCGCGTTGTCGCAATTGAATTTTATTTCCAAACAAAATTGATTTTTGGAAAAGCCTGCAATTCGAACGAATACTTTCAGTAAAATTGAACGATGGACTTTTAATCTTGAATTAAATTTTTGTAATACGAAATACAAAAATTTTTTAATTTAAATTTAATGCCATTACATTTATCTTGCTCTATGTATCATTTATGATAAAATATATATATATATAAAATGCATATTAAAATTATAAATATACAAAATATTTTTTGTTTATTTCGTTTTTTTAGTCTTATAATTTTTATTCTTATAAATATTATTCTTATAATTTTTACGCAACATTTAATCAAGAAAAAAAAAGTAATAGAAGATTAAGAAGCAAATCGAGTGTAAATCAAATCTAATTAAATAATCAGAAATGAGGGCCAGTGAATGTGGAAAAGCGACTAATAGAAAAGACGAGAAGATACTAAGAAGAGGATTGGGGGAGGGCACTGTTTCAGAGAGTCGGGGTAGTTTCTTCATT